CCGTCAATAAGTTATCGTAATTCATGCATCGACCATCTACTACGCATTGGTCTGCGGTCAAACGAATTTTGCGGTATCTTAAAGGGACTCTTAATCATGGCATTTTTCTTCGCAAAAATACTTCACTCCATCTCCATGCCTTTGCTGATGCTGATTGGGCAGGGAACTTTGATGATAGAACATCTACGTCCGGATACATTGTCTTCCTTGGAGCTACTCCAATCAGTTGGAGTTCAAAAAAACAAAAGACGGTTGCACGATCTACAACTGAAGCTGAATACCGTGTCGTCGCCACCGCCGCTGCTGAACTCAATTGGGTCACAAATTTGCTCAAGGAACTCAACGTCAACTCCACGGTTATTCCTACAAAATATTGTGATAATATTGGAGCTACTTATTTATGTGCCAATCCAGTGTTCCATTCCCGCATGAAACACATAGCCATCGACTTCCATTTTGTGCGAGATCAAATTGCCAGACATCAACTCCGAGTTTCTCACGTACATACAGTAGATCAACTAGCCGACTCACTCACGAAGCCTCTCGCCCGTAAACTATTTTCATCTCATCGGTCCAAGATCGGCATCCTTGATGGAAGCTCAATCTTGCGGGGGCATGATAAGCAGATAAGATTTCCTCAAGGCAGTTGAGGAAATCTCTCAGCAGTTGAGAAGCAGATAAGATTTCCTCAAGGCAGTTGAGGAAATCTCTCAGCAGTTGAGAAAAATCCTCCATGCTGAATGTGTATAACCTCCCTACTGAGTGTGTATAAATGGCTGTTAAGAACTCACTATCAAAATGTATTAGGCAATTATATCTTATACATTTCATAGTTTCTTCTACAATTTCTATCTTTCTATCTTCTTCGCTTAATTTCTATCAATGATGTCTTCTGAGATTTTGCACTCTCATTGATTTTGCTATTTTCTAGGAATCTTACGTTACCATATCCCACTATTATTATGAAGGTCAAAGTAATAAAATCTATATCACTTAATTTTTTTTGGATAACCAATTGAATATCAAAAATCATTTTTGGGTCTAATTTTTTTCATATAAATTGAAGACTTATATCTTTATAGGATAATCTCAAATATGACGTCTCAAATTAAATTTACTAGCAATCCAACTATATTTTAATCCAATATTTGATTCCAAGATTAACAATATCTTTATAAATTCAAGATTTAAATTAATTATGTATAAACTTTCATATAAAATTTTAAAATAAAATTTTATTGAATTATAAAATATATTAAGTTTATTATTATAAAAGAAAAGATAATATCATAAATTATTAATTCTAGATAGTGAAACTAAACTTTTAAAAATAATAAGAATATAACATATGACTACAAAATTTATCAAATGACCCTAGGTTGAGGTGATAAGTTTCAGTATTATCACTTTCATAATTCCTTATAACGACGAATCTTTTATATTTTTTAAATTTTATATTATAAAAAATCTTTGTATATTATTAGTAACATGAGTTGAATAATCAAAATCAAACCATCAAGCATTAGAAGAAACCTCTATATTTATAAGCGAGGGTAGAGGGTCCAAGAAAAAAACATAAAAAAAATTCTTTCATCAAAGTCATCTCTTAAGGAATCTTATCATAAATCCATAATATTTTTTACTTAATTAAATAGAGTCATATAATCTTTTTTTTTTTGCCCAAAATATTTAACTGTTTAAATATAAGTTTATAATAATACTTAATAGTCTTTTATAAGTTATTTTTTTATTTCTAGGGCTAAACAAGGATCAAATTATTTATCATCGATCTCTCCTTTGGAAATATCATATTTCCATCATAATGATCTAAGAGGTATTATACTTGTAACTAAATTTCTAACGATTCTAGCTTCCCTTCCCTTCCCTTCTGTTTATAATGAACAACTCATACCTCCTCTTCGTCATTAAGATTTGAATGTAAATAAAAAAAATACTCATTATCTTCTAATTGAGATATATATCCTTAACTATTTTCTTTCATTTTCAAGAAGATTTCTTCTGGAGCCTTTTTTTTTTAATGTTATTAACTCCACTAACTATCTTTAGCCTTTCTCACAATTCATTTTTTTTTTTGCTAACTTTGTCCCATTATGACACTTGTAAACAAAGTATGTGTAATGAACTGTGAAAAGTTTGTCTTTGATAGATCTCACGTTGGAGGAAGATCCTTCTTCTCCAAACAGAAACCACCGATTCACTAATGGTTGGGTGAGCGAGTGTTTCAACGTTTTCCATCCGGATGAATAATTTTTCTTAGATAATTCTCCGATTAAATAATATTAGTGTATCGATGGTTCTTGTTTGGAGAAGGAATTTTTCTCTAGCGTGAGGTTCATCCTATGTAAATTTTTCATAGTCCATGGGACAATGTTAGCACCAAAAAAATCGAGCTGTGAGAAAGACGAAGGAGGTGCTCAAAAATTAAGTTGCGAGAAAGATAGTACTGCAAAAAGGCTGCAGAAGAAGTCTAAACTCTTAAAGGATATAGATTTAACAGAAAACGATACTTAGAAGATGAAGAGCAATCTTTTGATCTGCACTCGATTCATGTCGATGAAGGGGAGGAGGAATAACTTGTTGTTGATTACAAACAACAATGCTGGTCGTTTCTGCAATACCTTTCGATGCCGCAGTACCTTTCAACGCTGCAGACTCCGTGTTTCCACACGTTTGCAATATAATGGAAAATGATTAGAGGTTCTCGATCAAATATATGATATATAGCACTATGAAATCCTTTGCAAATAACATCACATAAATACACTAACTACGCATTGTTTCAAGCTTAAAAATTACTAATTCTAAGAAACTGAGATAAAGAAAAGGAGAAAATGACCATTCTGAGTTCTGACTTCACCTGCTCATGAATTCTTGCACCGAGATGCTTGATCAGTTGATCCCATGTTGTTTCTTGGAATTGTAAGTAAAAAATGAAACTTGTCCTTGGTCGAGACCCGATGGTAAGAGCCAGTTGCCATGCATAGTCTTTATTCGTGTGCATATTGATCTCATCTTTCCTCAGCACGTTGAGACCTCCACTGTAATTCTGAGATCATTTTTAAAACCCTTGTAATATTTATTTTCGGCTTTTATCATATTTTTGTGTTTTTTTTGTGATTTCTTTAATTCAAATATTTGCACATTCTTCTAACATGAATCAATACGATCGGTGTCAAAAATAAATAGATCGGCGTCCTACGCCGCAATAAATCCCTTCCTGTTGTGCTATGCTGCATGGGTTGACCAAGTGGGTCCGGCGTTGACTACTCGACACCGTCTTGATGAGATGGAGCCATGGTTGACTCGCCCGATGCCGTCACGCATCCGCCACGCTCCGTCAGTGGCCTTCTGGAGAATTTCTCATTCCCACGTCGCTCCGCCACGGACCTATTTTAGGTGGGGCCCACGGATAGACGTGTAACCGACCCACGTAGGGCGAGCAACGTTTTGGGGAAACGTTGTCGGGTACCTGTATTTTTACGTGGAAAATAATAAGAGGAACGCGCCCGAGTCAACAACGGGAGGTGTCGCGACCGCGCCTTCGGTCGTCGACTTGAACCTCGAGTTGTCAGTCGATGGATGGTTAGTTCACGGGGGGTGACGGGAACGCGTACTGGCCACGGAAAGAAGGTAATCAAAGGTCCCTCCCATGACCAGCCGTTCCCGTCGCTTCTCAGTTCGCTCCCTGCGACTCAGGGGAAGCGTATTCTCCGCCCTCCCGTCCCCCGCGCCACCTGCTACCTTGCGAACCGTCGCTGGATTCCGCCCGATTCGACGGTGCTCAGACTCTATTTTCTTCTCTCCCGCCCTCCGGCAGAGGCCAGAGCTCGCTGGAAGCAGAGGTGAGACTTAATCTTTGCGGTTCCCTTTGTTTCTGATGAAACGAGGGTTCCTGAATTCTGATCGATTCCCTGGATCATCGATGCTATTATTTTGAGTTCCAATGTCTTCTCCGTTATTTATTTTGTTGATTCTTGCTTATGGATCTTCAGCTCTGGCGACTGAATTGTGACATGAGGGACGAAAGAAAGAAAAGTACCTTGAGCAATTGGTTTCTGGGAGAGGGTATATTTGTTATTTATAAGTGGCAACTGTGGTCATTAAAAGTAAAAAAAATGGTATCTTTGATGTCATAAAATTTGGATTCTAACGTATAAACACAGCACATATTGATTGCTATGAATATGTTCTGTGTTTGAAGTAAATGTGTCCTTAGGTATCCTTACAAATTTGAGAAGTGGAAACATTACCATGACTTGTTGGTTTGCATAGTGTGAACCAGGAAAGTCATCAACAATGAAATCTTGTGTAAAATTCGAAGAGTTGTCAATAGAAAAGTGCATCGATCAAAGGTGTAAAGAACGATATACATACATTTCATTTCCAGCCATTGAACTAACACTGATGATGGAATACAGGTATTTATGTCATCTTTGTAAATAACTTAGATGTGAATGGTTTATGCACTGTTGTATACCTTGAAAAAGTTGCATTGCCCTCTTTGTCTCTCATTCTCTGTAACAATTTCCTAATCGTGGATTCTGAAAAGAAAAGAGAGGTACAATGTTATAGAGCATGTTTCCCAACACAGAAATTATAAGCTAGAAAGAAAAATATTTTTCTTTTACCAATTTTAACTGTATCACATCATTTTGAAAAGTTCAGATTATTCTTGGAATGTTGAGGCAGCATATTTGTCATATTAACCTTATTTTTCTTGTTCATGATATACAAATCTGTCATTAGAGAACAACGATGGTCATATTTTGTTAGCAATAGCTTCTATTGCACCCCTTTGACTATTCTTAGGGTTAGGTGAGTATCACTACTAATTTAGATGATTAAATGAGACCAACTGTTAGCTGACAAGCATGCTTTTGGGAATTTCTTGGTTGTTTATCGTATGCATGATTGTCATGGTGCAGTACCAGTAAACAATTTGACCTACTCCATCTTAGAAATATAGGAGCTTTAATTTCTTTATTTATGTGTTTGTTTTTTATTGATGACAAGTCTTGAATTCTGAAGTGCCCTCCATTTATTTGAATTGCTATTCTTTCTGAGATTATCTAGTTCTTTCCTTTTCTAGAAATAAGCACGGTTATTTTGAGGACAGAGGCAGCTGTTTTGAGTAAAAAGGATAATGTGCTTCCGTTTTTTCAGAAAATCTGGTTCCGAGAAACCATCTAAGTATGAGCAGCCTTCTGCTGCTAATTTAACAGGTAATGTCATGCGACATTAATACAAGCATATTTACTAGGCTTGGTTTTATCAATCCATATCATTGCATCTGAATTATTCATATAACAATGTAATATTTCTTAGAACTAAATAGCCTGTACAGGATTTAACTGCTGATTAATGTATTTGATATACCTTGTTGCTTGTGTTTCTCTTCATCTAAATGCCAAAGTCACAGTAAGTACATGCCCTTTTTGTCTGTTGAAAGTTATGATTCTTTATTTTGTATGTATGTAATTTCTGCAATATCTGTCAGTCTAATCTGATGAAGCTACATTTTCACGAACTACATATTCACTCTAAAACTCTTGCTTACGGTATGATTCATGTCCCAAATATCCTTATGACCAAACAGAAGTTTCTCTGGCTTCGACCAGTCTTCCTGTTAATGTTTTATATGTATAGCATTTGATTCCTCATCTCATATTTCCACAACATTCAGATATGAATTTTCACTTTAGTTGATGCAGGTCATGATGGTGCTAAGCATGCCCCAAATTTTGCTTCTAACAGTGCACAACTTGTAACAATGGAACCAATTGTAGTTCCTGCCATTCCAGTAGATGAAATAAAGGAAGCTACAAAAAATTTCAGCAATGAAACTTATGTTGGAGAGAGTTCGTATGCAAGAATTTACTGTGGTACACTGAGAAATGGACATAAGTCTGCCATAAAAAGGTTAGATGCCACTAAGCAGCCGGATGGAGTATTTCTGGCACAGGTGTGTTGATCATTGCTATTGACTTGTCTGTCTTGCTGATATTATCGATTCCCTTATAGAAGAATTTACAGGTATCCATGATGTCAAGATTGCAACACAAAAATTTAGTTGAGCTGTTCGGTTACTGTATTGATGGAAGTCTACGCATTCTTGCATACGAGTATGGAAACATTGGATCCCTTCATGATATCCTACATGGTATAAGATGATTGCATCTTGTAACTCATAATTTACTTGTTACAATTATTTTTTTTATTTGTTGGATCGTCGGTAGGACAATCCTTTTCTACGTTGATTATTTTCTACTGGATAGAATATCTATGCTGAGGGCAGTCTTGGTGCAATGGTAAGATTGCTCCTATTCGACCTATGTGATTAAGATTTGAGTGATGCATATAGTCTCTTTACTCGTAGGAGTAAAATTGTGGACATCAACTCTCCCCAAACTTTCAATAGGCAGTAGCCTCATCCATTGGGTTCCACTAGATTTACCCTTAATAGAATACTTAAACCATAAATGCCATCTAAACATGGGTAATAATAAATATACTTGAAATTATGCTACCGGAAGGCTGGCAGCTATCTCTTGATATAATCTGGCAATAGTCACACCATACTTCAAAATATTTACCCATACTCTTGATTCTTATGGACCTTAAGTAGTGCAGGTTACTACATGTATTAGTGCTCCCAAAAGGTCTCCATCATGTTAGGATTATTAGATGATTGTAGATAGGTTTATCTTTTGTAAGTAATGATAGGATAAGAAATATTCTCTATTCAGTGCATCTATACATCTTTCTAGGACATTCATTCTGCCTTAGATGGCTGTCCTCATTTAACTCCAAGAAGATCATATAAATATCTTAATATCTTAATTTAAGTCATTTCTCAATTTTTATATCCATATGATTTTTGTCCACTGTTCATAAGTTGCATATTACATTGTGTGTTACATACATGTGATTTACCTTTGACTTCTGTTTGTTGATTGTTGGCGCATAATGCATTAATTGTTTCAAGGACATTAAGATTTTAAGGTTATCCTTACCTAAACCCTTGTCAAGCATTGCCAATTTCTCCTTCAGAACTATAAAAGCAAAATAATATATGATTGTTTAACACAGGACAAAAAGGTGTCGAAGGGGCAAAGCCAGGTCCAGTTTTGTCATGGGTACAACGAGTTAAAATTGCCACAGGGGCTGCAGAAGGACTTGAATACCTGCATGAGAAAACAAAACCTCCTCTTACCCATCGTGACATCAGGTCCAGCAACATACTTATATTTGATAATGATGTCGCAAAAATAGGTGATTTTGGCCTGTCATATCATGCCTCTGGCATGGCTTCACATCTTCGGTCCACTCAACTTATTGGAACTTTTGTTTATAATGCTCCAGAGTAAGTTACTCTATATCTTTTTCATACAATTGTGTTTTTTATTACCAATAAACATGTGCAACACATTGAAGCCAGTTTTCAGCTTCAATTTGAGTAATAAAATTCTTTTTAAACTTCTTTTTATAAATATTGTTATTTTTTGTCGATTCTAGTCATCTTCTATAATTTTATTTATCAGGATCTTTAGTACGTCCATGGTCTCCGGCTAGAACTATATCAGCAAACTGCTGTATGAATCTTCAAAGGCCATTATACTATATTGTTGCTGAAAGATAGTGTTGAGTCAAGTTAGAGATCCATTTAGGTTTGGGGCGAGTCATGATTTCAGGTATTCAACCTAAACATGAATCAAAATCCATATCAGATCGATCTTTAGCAACTATAGGTCAAATAGGCACAATGAACCACTATGGTTCACTGCAGCTGAGTCTTGGTTTAACCTTCAATAAAACCGCACCTTTAACATTATAATATGAATCATATCCAGAAAGCTTGAGTTCAAAGTTTTTGCCTGGCTGGCAGGTTTGCTTTGACGGGACAGCTTACTTCCAAGAGTGATGTTTACAGCTTTGGAGTTGTTCTTTTAGAGCTTTTAACTGGCCGTAAACCTCTGGATCGTAGTTTACCACGAGGACAGAAGAGTCTTGTGACATGGGTATGCATGTATTACTTCTTTTTCATCCTTTTTCTTTGCCTATTATTAGCAATGTCAAAATCTTCCCTTTTGCTTCCTGCTGCAATTTTTTTCACTTCAATCATAGGGAACCAACCCTTGGTGAATTGTACAATCATGTGCAGGCATCGAATAGACTTACTAAGGATGAGGTGGTAGAAATTGTAGATGAAAGGTTGGGAGGACAGTACCCTCACGAGTCTGTTGCAAAGGTAACATTTGAAATTTCATACTGCTCTTGCATTCTTGAGGCACTCATGTTATCAACTGAACTTTTGTTGTCTTTGTTTCATGTCTTTTTGTGCTTGGTATATGTGATTTGTAGAGCAATACACTTCTTGTTCATTTGGTATAGTAGGAGCTAAGAGAAGCCAAACATCAACAAGTTTCCTGTATAAAATGGATGAGATTCGCTTTTTAGCCACTCAAGGAATTACATCTGGTGTGAGGTCAAAATACATTTATCATCAATATCACATGCAGATGAATGTGAATATGTTTAGAAAATGTCTAATTTAACCGATTGCATTTTTTCCTTAAGCTCTTTGTTCTACGGATCCTCATAGGCCATCTTAGTACTAGTTATCAGCTTATCGAATAGTATTTGATCTGAGTGCATGGCAGAAGCATCTTTATGTCAATTATAACTTGATCGCTTTTGTATTTCTTTTTAATCTGTTGCTCTTATCTTGGAAATAGTTCGCCAAAATAGCTGCTTCGTGTTTGCAATATGAAGCTGATGATCGCCCAAATATGAGCATCATCGTCGAAGCACTCCAGACTCTTTTGATCATGCAATAATGTTCTTCCTAACAAGGCACCACGCTCGTGCGGCTCTCTTCCGCTCTACTGTTTCTGGTATCGGAGTAAAGGTGTGATGCTAGGTTTCAGAAACCATGTCTTCTGCTGGTGAGACCACTGGATGATGCAACCCTTCCTCTGCCATTCTTGTTCCTTGCTCACAAGAGAATTCGGTGCCCGTGGAATATAATTTACACCCGGAGAAGTTCTTAGAAATCCTTTGTATCCCTTTTTTGTTATCTTTCCTTGTTTCCAAACAGATGGTTAATCTTATTCGAAATGGAGGTTTGTAATAAAATGCACCATAATGTTTTCGGTTTGCAGTATTTCGAGTTCATGAAGAATTTGGCTGATGAGGAGGCGTATCGTTGAGATCGTGATGGTAATGTAGGCAGAATGGATCAAGTTTAATGATATGATAAACGAGATCATCACTGAAAACAGTATTTGGAGCACAAACAGCGACTGTATCGAGTTCTTCACGCAACAGCATGGATGGATTCCGCCCCCTACATATGCACACATCCAGAATTGAAATCAAAGACAGGGCAAGTCATGAGGATACAGATGGCGTAAACGTAAGAGCGCAAGACCTCCTCGATGAAGTGACGAGTTCTTGCAATGAAGCCCAGTTACACGCACTAATCATCCAAATCTTTCCTTGGAATGAGCAATAAATGTCATGGTGGTTCGCATGACATGTCACTGCAATGAATAGAAATCGATATACATTTAAATGCAGTGAATTATAAACATGAAAGTACTTTTTGGGACTCTCTTCTCCTCTACTGTATCGAGGAGATCTTTTGCATGCACCTTTCTTGATTAACTTCTGAGAAAAGAAGAACAGATCAAGCAGCTAATTAGAATCGACACATGAAGACAGACACAACAAACCAAGTTCATTCCTCCCTCTCCATCAAAAACGACAGAAAGGAGGTTGGGTTGGCCGGTGGGAATCCGCCATGCATGCATGAAGCTGTGTAAATGACAAGCCGTAGCAGCGCAGGTGTTTAGTACCTGTGTGTGCCGACAATGAGAGACGTATGGAGGTACGTATAAAGTCTAGTAGCGTTTCTTTGTCTTCCTCTTCGTGCCTCTCCTCGCCACTAAACCTCGTTAATTCATCTTATCTATCCAGTGTATCTATAAATATTTCTAGAGGATGGTTGTCCTCACTTAAATTCAAGAAGATTATATACATATTTTCATGTGTTATTTTTAAGTGATTTCTTGATTTTTTAATATCCATATGATCTTTTTGTCCATTGATCACAAGTTGCAATTACATAAGTACAAATGGTGCAAGGCAAGAATTGAAATCTAAGACGGCGCGAGTGGTGAGGATACAGATGGCGTAAAGCAATGATTAGTAATAAGAATGATCTAGTGAGCAGCAGGTATGAATATAATAATAATAATAATAATAATAATAATAATGCTGTAATCAACAAGCCAAATTAATGACACTGAGTCTTTCATTTTCAAACTCTGTTGTGATATGCTTACATTCAATTCATATATTACAAGATGAAACTACATTAATGGACTCACTTGTTTAGTTATCCAGAACAATCAAGATTCATTTCATGTTGGTTATCTAAAGTTCATCTAATCAAATCACAATTCTCACAATGAAGCCAGTTACAAGAACTAATCATCCAAATCATCATCGAGGAAATCAAGATCAGTGTCGTCTTCATCGGTCGCGGCACCCACTCCAGCAGGATGAGCACCTGATGTCTCCAATAGTTCAGGCAATGCTATATCTGTGGAAGTCTTCTTGGACCCTCTGTTGAATTCCTCATTCTCATTGATTTCAATCCCATAGGACTCTGCTTGCTCCGTGTTATGGTAGAGAGCCTCCTATATCCAAAATAAAGCAATTTAGTCAAATAGTTATGGCAAAGAAATGACAGAATGAAAGGGCAGGGGGTACCTCATCGTCTAGCAAAGCTGGTTGATCAATGCTCACGATCCAATTATCTAACAATCTCTCCAAAAAGACATTGTCAAAAGATATTGATTCATCAGTTATTCTCTTTAGTTGCCTCTCCCGCTCCCTAAGACGCAAGTTGTAGTGGACGTAGGCAAAATCATTCAATCTTTTCTGAGCTAAACGGCTGTGCCTCGTAGCATGAGTATGATCAAATGTGCTCCAATTGGGTTTGCAACCAAAGGATGTGCACGACTGGCTTAATATGCGAACCGCAACTCGTTGCAGCTCAAGGCAGTTTATTCCATGTTGTTGCCACCATGCAGCTACAAAACACAGAAATGAAGAACAAAAACAGAACAGAGAGAACAAAAATTAACATCATAGCATGTCATTAGCAGTATTAAGACAATAGCATCCCACAAAGTTTTAATGCCCAAAGGTAATTGTGATTGATGCAGCCCCAAATGCTTATCATCAGTTGTGTTGTTTGTACCTGGATCCAAGTCTATTCTTGTGCTTAACGCCAGCTCAGTTCCAAAATCAGCTTTTGCATAAACAAAATCAGAAATCTGCAGTGAAGAATATCAGATCACAAAAAGTAGTCCCAAAATAAACATTAGAGATCAGAAATTTTCTGGCAGAAATGGTTAAGAAAACTCAAAAGCAGAACCAAGCACCTGTGCTGCAGCTGAAATTCTTCTTCCAGTATCTGGTTCCAGTCGAGTGATGCACTCATTTAAACCACGAATGACCTCTGGAATCTACAAATGCTAAAGAATGCAAATTCAAAAGAGAAGCATCACAAGTGCAAACACCTAAACAAGCAGAGGGTTACTCTTACCGCCATGAAATCTGGTCGGTAGCGATATGATGGATTAAGGAAGTATGCTGCAACGTAGAGGGGATGGTGAAATACAGAATTCCAATGGTTATCTAAAACACTCCAAAATGGGCCATACTTTTGTTCACTGTCAGCATGGACAGCTTTCATTGCAAGCTTAGCACTGTATATGCCATTATAGATTGATGGCATGGACAAGGTACAGTTACTCCCAACTACTGTAAGCATTTGGACGACTGGATCCACAGACTTATTCACATAATGTGTCTTCTTCCAAAACGTCGAGTTAAAGATGATTTTTTCAACTTCCTTTCCCTCGTCTGATTTGGCTAATTGGGAAGACATCCACCTACTAGAGTGGAACATCCTTTTGAGAGCAGACCGATGGTCTTGCAGGCATCGCAAAGTAAGAAAACTAGTTAAAAACCTTGTAATAGCTGGTTTAAGAATTTCTTTACCAGCTGTAAATTCCTTTTTCATAAGATTTAGCAACCAAATGTGGTTGTAAATGAACCTGGTAATCTTTTGGCCTTTTTCAAGGCATTCTTTGACCCATTTTATCTCTGTGAAATCCTCCAGAATTTGATCAATGCAATAAGCAGCACAAGGCGTCCAGAATAGACTTCTTCTCTTCTCCTCTAGCAGCTTCCCAGCAGCTTTATAGCATGCAGTGTTTTCTGTAATTACCTGTAAAATAGTTAGAATTATCACGATGCATGAATCACATATGCCCAGCAAAATGGCAATCCTAATCGGGAAGTGTAGTTTCCTGCTGTATGTAGAATTATCAATAAAAAGAAATAGCTGAAACAAAATAGTTTGGTACCTGCACCACATTCCTCTCGCCTACTTCCTCTACAACTTTGTCTATTAACTTGAAAAGACATGTTGCATCCTTTACCACATCAGAAGCATCAACAGAAGATATAAAGTATGTTCCTCTCGGGCAAGATACCAGGAAATTGATTATTGTTTTTCCCTGCACATCCCTCCAGCTATCTGCCAAAATACTGCAACCAGTTGTAGCCCAAGAAGCTTTAATTTCTACAAAATATTCTTTGGTAGTTTGAACTTCATCCTGGAGTGACCGACCTGAAATTAATCTGCTTGTAGGGCTCTTAAATCCATGTCCATATTGACTAACTAAATCCAGCATCTTGTGGAAGTACGGAGAGTCTGCTGCATTGAAAGGTATTGCAGCATAGTAAAAAAATCTGCAGATTGCAGAAAGAACTTCTTTACGACTTCTTCTAATGGATCTTCTTTTTTGTTTTAATAGCTTGTAGGAAAGTGGGAAACGAATTTTTTGTGTGTTTGAAAGCACAGAATCTAAGGCAATCTGTTTCAACTGCATTTCTGCACCCCTTGCACCATTTCCTGGTGATCTCCCCCTGGATCTTTTGCGTATGGTTTTACTGGTAGAAACATCATGATCATCAACTGTACGTATTGATTTGATCATGTCGTTTGCATGCTCATTCTCATCCTCATTTTCTGGATGCATATAGAGGGCTGCAACTTCCTTGGTCTCAGGCCTTCGTCTCCTTCCAGTACGATGCCATTTCATGTTCTCTTTCATCTTAAGATACACTTCCTCTGGAGCCATCTTGCAGGATGCAACTTCCCCAGGAATTCTAGCTAAATGTTGTTTAAATCGGTTTATTCCACCACTAACTATTTTTTCACAATAATTGCATTTTACCTTCTTTTTCTTCTCATCTTGAGCAACACCATGTTCCCATCCAGGATCTATATATCCTAATGACCTAAGAGGCGTTATACTTGTAACTAAATTTCTGGCAATTCTAGCTTCCCTTCCCTTCTGCTTATAGTCAAGTTCTTCCTCCTCTTCATCATCATGATTTGAGTGCAGATCAAAAGATTGCTCTTCATCTTCTAAGTGTCGTTTTCTGTTAGATCTATATCCTTCAAGATTTTCTTTCATTTTCATGAAGACTTCTTCTGGAGCCTTTTTACAGTATGTAACTTCGCCAGATATTCTAGCCAAGTGTTGCTTCAATCTATATATTCCTCCACTAACTATCTTTCCACAATAATTGCACTTCACTTTTTTCCTTTTCTCATCTTGAGCAACACCATGTTCCCAGCCAGGGTCAGTGAACCCTGTTGATCGAAAGGGAGCAACTTCTTCAACCATTTTTGGCACACCTGCTTCAGCCCTTCTCACTGTTTTATCTGGGGAAAAACTCAAAATGGGTTAATCCTAATGCCAATGTACTTGCAAAAAAATGTTGGTTGTTTAGAATTTTAAAGAGTCCTCATATAAACTTTTGCAGCAAGTCAGCACAAAAGTCAAATCTGGTTTTTTCACATGTTACCGCAAGAGTAGAAAGGACTAGAATGGAGTTTTGACTGAAATAATAAAGCATTTTCTTGTTTTGTGATGCTGACAACATGCAACTCCAATTCTTGTTAAAACAACAATCCAGATTTGTAGAAGTTCCATGACAAATTCTGATAATATAGTACATTACAACGAAACGTATTAAAAGACTTCTTTTGACACACCATAATATGGAATGTTTCTAAATGGTTTGTTATTTTAACACCAAACAATGAACAGCAATAAGTCACTTTTGCTCTTGTTCACTGTTTGTAGCAAAAGGTAATATTACCTATAAGATACATGCTAGTGGGCTGCAATTTATCTGCAATGCAAATAGCATTTTTAAACATCCAAGAGACTGAAAAATTAAAAAATCAATTTATTGATGCTCTTCAGTAACAGATGCAGAACCAACTCCTGACAATGGAAACGTCATCGGCAGAACTTTCTCCTGTATTCATCAGAAAATAGAGAATTGTGGGATCTGTAAACATGTTTCCATAACAGACCATTCTAAAAAAGTGGACTAGATAACAATCATATGCAACCCAAATACTTAAAACAGTAGGATTATGATACATTGTAATTGCTAATAACCGTCAATTGTCCAGAGATTACAGTAGAATCATTCTCAAATCAAAGCACTTTAGTGAAGCTGGAAACTCTCCCTCAGACCACTTTTAACTGATAAGTCAAGAGGAAAAGGAACATTAGACCGAACCAAAAAGATAAGCGACTACTAATTGAGAGAGAAGGAGCAGGGGATGAAAAACAGAAGGCAGGAGGTGCAAAGAACTGAAAGATCTAAATGTTGAACGGGCATGACTATTAACATCATGCAGATGGATGACAATTCAAGGTAATTAAGAAAGTCAAAGCATCGGGCCAATTAATTCGATGCCTTCACTGTGTCATGCACAATTCATATATAATCATCGTAACTCATGCAAACAAAGATCAAGAATGAAAGAAATAAAGAAAGATGAAGAAAATTTAATTGTCTCCTCAACTAAGCCTGATTGTTACATAAGCGAATTTTGCAACTACCAAATAAATACTTGCAAATAATAGAAACTCCGATAATTTTACCAGTCTGCAGCAGGGATTATATGTGATTGCAAGATCAACCCAAAGAATCATTTTTGCAGCCTAAGAAGCAGAATGCATCAGCATAATTGGTATTGAGAACAACCTAACCTTCTCTAAAAGCATCTGCATTTTTTTCACAAATCTTAAACATGATATTAGAAATCAAGATTGTGAGTCAATAGTCAATGATCACAATGCTCTCCTGGACAGCAAAAGACAGCCCTGGTTACAAAAGCATCCAATTGGGAGAAAAACAATGCAATGATGAGATAAACACTCATCGAGAATGAAGATAAGGCTAACTACCAAGGACGAAATATATGTTTGTTTAATTATCTTGTGTTTGTGAAAATAGTAAATAATTGGTTGCCGGGATGTGTTCTCGCTGCTTAAATGTCTTACTGATAAGGATAACTACAAGTAAGACCTTGCAATCAGTAATTAAATCTATAGGTTAGTCGATATTCTGCTAAACTGAAATTGAGAACTACAATTCAATTCAAGGAAGTCATCTTCATCTTTAACCTCTAGAATATGCGGAGCAGGGTTCGATGTTTGGACTCTGCACTTCTAACCTCATAAACTAATATATCAAAATCATATATTAACACATGCAACAGTGTGTCCCTACCATTATAAGCAATCTACTGCACCAAAAATGGGGTACAATTTCAAATGCGCTATGGCTCACCTTATCCAAAAGCTTAATTTCTACCAGAATTTTTTTCCTTTTAATAACTGGCCTGATGTTCATGGATCAAACTCTCTTGATATAAACCCCTATTACCAAATATGATGTTCATGTTCAAATAACCGTGAACACTACGTGCAAAGTCAACTTTTACCAACTGCAGGTTCACTCTTTTTATGAAACCATCATTCAGAATTTCATTTCAAGAATCTTCCCGGTTTCGAACGTTCCAAGCTTAAAGAAGATGCTAGAATCAGCTAGAATCACTCCAGCACTTCAATGAACCTACTTTCCATGTAGCAAATTCACCATGAAAACTTTAAAATTTGGAATGACCATTACTCTTCGAATTCAGATAAGGAAACAGCAAATCACTGATATAACTGAGCTGCACTACACCTAATTCCACTTACATGCCACAGCAATTATCCATTTTTGCTGCCAAAAGCAGCATCATTTCTTTCCACAATGGAAAAACAAAAGAGATTTCGAATTTCTACAAACCTTCTCATCATCAGATTCCCAACAAAGAAGACTTACTTCGTTCCTAACCCAACATATAACGAAATAAATCCTTAAGCACCCAATCGAACAAACAAACCCTAAATAACAGAAATCATCATCCCAACGGAACATAAGAGATACGAGAAATGGGACTCGGAGGGGGAAGAGAATTAGCCTGGATCGACTCGGATTACCGGAGAGAAGAGTGGATCGAGCACCGCGGGAGGTCTGGGCGATTGCCATCTCGCCATCGGGGGTTCGTCTCCTCGACTCGGTGGCGTCCTGTCGTCGCTCGCCCCTTTGCCCTGGCCTCGCGCGTTGACTCGGAGCCGGATATAGGGCTGAGTCCGACGCATACAGCGAACTCAGATCTGGCCGAGGATCGGTGTCTCGACTCAGCACTGCCTCGGTCCGGTTCGACAGCGAGTCACATATACATGAGCTTTGTACGTATAGTACTCCAACATGTACTTAATAATGAGCGTATTTGATGAATTATTCAAAATGAAAGTATATTTCTTCAAAATGCAGTGATAAATGTTAATTAATTTACCACCAGTAAATAAATTTTATAGTATTTATTTATCTAGATATTCATGTTTTAGTAGTGATAACTATTTCAACTAGGTTGTATCTTGACACCTATATATATGGATATATGCATTCTCTGTATTAATTAATCTTGATTACTGGCTTCTCGATTTTTTTAGTGTGTAATTAGACCATATTTTCCAATAGATGTATTGAATTTTATTAATACTTCAACAATTAGTATCTAATTTTATTCCATATTATTCCATTTTAGGTTAAGAAATATATAGGAATGAGACAACTATAAAAAAGTGTTTTTTAGGTGCATTATAGTCGCTATTCTTGGGTTAGATCAAACAAAGTATAAGATTTAGGCTGTCAAGAGACTAATGTATACATAAATATAAACATATATTATCGGAAAGGGCAAAATAACTGTTTTTTTCTCATATAATTGTAGAATGTATTAAGAAAACATATGAAAATGAGATTAATTAACCCCTACAAGACGCATGAAAGACCTACAAAACATCGTCCCTTTCGGTCTCCAATCACCCTCATCGGTGGGCGTCGCCCACGAACGGCGGCGCGTCGTTGGGACCCCCAAGATCCATCGACGACGTGGCAGATGCCGGTGGAGTGGCGTACCTGGCGGAGAATCCCCGTCTAACGCTGTCGCCGTCGGAGTCGCTGCCCAGCCCTTCGTCGAAGTTGAGGGCGTAACTGAGGGGGTCGTATCCGAACCCGCCGTGACGGGGCCGGCGGCGGAACCGCCGGACGAAGGTCTTCCATCTGGGGCCGGCCACGATCTCCGTCCACTCCCTCACTTTCATGACCACCTTCATTCCTCGCCTCCACCACCACCGCCCCGTCACGGGCCCTCCCCCGTACTCGCGCCGCTCCACCGCCTTGCGCGCCCGCGTGCCAGGCCAGGGCATCCGGAAGCAGCAACAGCCGCGCTTGGCGAACATCTCGTCCGCGGTGACCAGTGCCGTTCCTTCCGGAGCCGGAAAGCGAGCGGCCGAGTCCATCTCTGTGGGCGCCGAAGGAAGATACGTATCTCTTCCTCTCGTCTCACCCACAGCACGGTTGGGGATAGGGAAAAGGGCGATGAGATCAACGGCAGGGATGGAAACAGCTGTAGAGTGAGGGAGTGAATGGACGATCGAGGAGAGAGGAGGTCGGTATGGTATGCGAAGGCGTCACTCCGAGAATCCCGTCAGCAAACGGTTCCGACTAATTAATTAATTAACGTGTATACTGGTGATAACAAAAACAATACGCAACAAATTAAAAGGAATCGATTGTCCTAATTGCTCAGCAATGTTGCAGGCTTCGACCCGTAGACGGTCCAGGCGAACCCATTGGAAGAGCAGGTTGGGGCCCAAACCCAAGTCTGGCTGGACGGGGCCCACGAATGGACATGACTGTCTCACGTGACCGTCGAGCAGCGATCAACGAAGCATAAGAAAAAGATGTTGGAGGGTATGACAAAGTATTATTAGGAAAACATCGAGGCACCCAATGACTCTCGAGACTCGCGAAGACACCGATCGAGGCTTTCGGGCCACCTGTTGTCTCGCAAAACTTTTGCAGACCGAGGAGGTGAAGGCGTTCATGCTGGCTTGTGAACCGGCGGCCATTAAGCTCACATTAATCGGCGGCCTAACCAGATTCTTCCCTCCTTAATGCCCCTCCTCCCTTTCGCCTGCCTCTTTTGGCCGCTACAAGCGGAGTGGGGAACACCCCTTTGTCTCCTTGTCCTTTTGGAGGGAATCCACGGAAAGCTAGAGATGAAGGCCGCAGCAGGCCTCTTCTTCACCCTCTTTTTGTTCCTCGTCATCGGAGAGTAGGCGGATCAAGAACTGGTTTGGATGTTTTTTTCCCGACTCCTTTCTCAAGTCGTGTCATGTGATCGGTAGGTGGAGGCTCATTCTGTGTCCTTTCGGGTTTTCTCCCAGGTGAATCGGGAGGAGATGGAGGAGGCGAAGAAGAAGGCGATGGTGCTGCTGTTCTTGGTGGTCTTGTCCGGTGGGTTTTGCAGCGTGTCTGCTGCTTCCCCAGCAAGTAAGCAAGTTGTGCTGCTGCTTTTTCTCGGTGGTTTTTTCTCTCCAACATCTTTCGTTCTCCAATCTCGTCTGCTTCCTTGCTCCAGGGCTGGTTAGTGCGTTTGTCTCCAATCTCTTGTCGGCTCTGTTGCGACGTCTGTGGTCGTTGACGCCTTCTACTGGAAACGGTAGCATTCCTTACCATTCTACCATTTCTCGTTCCCCTCTCAGCTATTTATTCGGTAGGGTTTTTCTTTGATTGGGCGACCGTTCTGCAGCGATCTTGAACCGTTCGAGTGTGAAGTTTGAGAGCGGGTACAATGTGGAGACCGTGTTTGATGGGAGCAAACTTGGAATCGAGCCGTTCTCTGTTGGAGTCATGCCGAGCGGGGACCTCCTAGTCTTGGATTCCCTGAACAGCAACATTTACAGAGTTTCTCTGCCGTTGTCTAAATGTGGGTGTTTCGTTTCCATTCATCCTGTGATGCCTATAATCTGTTTCATTGCTGGAATGAACCATTTCTTTTATGAGGAGTTTGTGATCACATAACTTTCTATTATAGGGCTGATAATTTACTGATGTTACAATTTAGGTCATTCACTTCGGTGGTGGTCTTGGTACCTTCTCTCGTGACTTCCTTCTGTTCACCATCTACCTGTTGGTATTATCTGTGTTTCTACTGGAACTCTGATGCATGCTGTTCAAATGGGTTATATCTTAGGTGTGGTCGAGTTGATAACTGTTGCTTAGTTCTCATCCAATTTCTCATTGTGCAGTTATAAATTTATTTGTTTGTTAAACCATCAGATTTCATGAGTCTCATTTAGAATCATAAACTGGCTAGATTTGCTGAATTCATGGTTCTGATCATCTGTTGGTATTATTGTTAATTCATTGAAAAGGTTAACATAAATTGCTTTTTGTGTGAGATAGTTTTCTAGATTCTATAAGGATGTGATTAAAATTTTGCTAAAGATGAATTATTTAACTATAGTGATGCTTAAATTGAATTTGATGACCCTAAATTGGTTTATTATCATTGACCAATATAAAAAAATGATGTTGAAGCTTGATTCATTATCTTCTTTTTGTTCTTCACATTCTTTTGTTTTAGAAACTTTTTCTTTCTAAGCTTACCATGAAAGTGCTTGTTGAAAAAATTGTTCTGGTCTCTCCTATGTTCATTAATAGTTCATGGAATATTAATGTCTCTTAGTTGTCATGACAACTTTATGTGTTGATGATTAACTGAACATTTTGAAAATAACAGACAGCAGGCCTAAGCTTGTTGCTGGTTCAGCAGAAGGATACACTGGTCATGTTGATGGGAAGCCACGGGGAGCAAGGATGAATCATCCAAAGGGACTTGCGGTGGATGATAAGGGTAACATTTATGTTGCAGACACCAAGAACAAAGCAATCAGGAAAGTCAGTGACACTGGTAAACTTGGGATCTTACGGAAAATTCACTTCGAACTGTAAATTTTTAGTGCATAATTTATGAATGTATTATGTTCTTTATTTCAATGTTCTCTTTGGATTTTTTTTTAGGATTTCAGACTCTTAATGACGTATAAATGTTATGTCGGATCTACTATTCACAAGAAAGAGATGATGGTAAATAATTTTTTTGTGGAGTTAAAATGGAAATACAAAAATGGAGAGGAACATTGGAAGTGTTATGTGATCATTGTTTTTATCCATTATATTAAAATGAAAGTATTACAATATATTTGTAGGATCAACTATGCTTTATGGGTATGGATGTGTGGCGATCAAGAAACAACATCTACAAAAAGTGATGTCACTGAAATGAGTATGGTGAGATGGAATTTGCAGTTATTAGGAATGATATAATAAATATATTTATATTCATGAAAAATAAGGGATAGTCTTTGAGTATTTGGATGATCTATCACTTAATTTGTCGAAATAAAAAAAATCATCAATAGTTATGTTTAGAAAAATAACCTAGTCATTTTGGTCCAATATTCTTGTAGTCTCTAGCTATAGTTTTGCTTGAGTTGCTTTCTCTCATCGAATAGAATTTGCTTATTTTTGTTTAGAAAATTATCAATCGAATAAAAAAAATCATCAATAGTTATGTTTAGAAAAATAACCTAGTCACTTTGGTCCAATATTCTTGTAGTCTCTAGTTATAATTTTGCTTGAGTTGCTTTCTCTCATCGAATAGAATTTGCTTATTTGTCTATAACTTCTTTCACACATTAAAACAAAATTGTGTATTTCTCAAGTCGCAGACATAAGTTGTACAAATATTCCTACAAATCATGTGTAATTGTGTTTGAATTTGTTTTTAGTGTACAATTATTCAAAAGCCTAAAGCTACAAATCAGAATGACGGAAAGGTAGTGCATGTAGTTTTGGTGTGTATTCTGGGAAACAAATTTGCTATTTCCAATTACACTAATAATTTGTCTCAAGTGTGATGAATTTGGACAAACATAACGGTTGCATGAACAACAGATGGTTTTAGTTCTAGTTTTTTATATTTGTGACTTGTATGTAGTTTGACAGTAATGTTTATGTGGCAGAAGCTCAGATTGTTTACAGTTTACAATCCATCAGTTATGGATTGCTCTCAAGACTTAATATATCTGTTCTGTTTGAGAATGGTAACCTTACTAATGTAGAACCATTCTCAATTTTGAGACAAGTTTAGTATTTGTCAACCAAGCCTTGAATTTGGTCTATGGGATGGCAATAGTTCTTTTAACTGTATTAACGTATTTTTGTTTACCTGGACTCTGGTTAATTTTTTCTTTTATCAGTCATATATTTCAAGATTTATGTGAAGTTTCCTTCCAGCATTTTTTATGACCTCTTTTGCTTCATAAATTCATGACCTATTTGCTTTGCATGGACTGCCTCTCCTGCTTTGTCTTCTCTCTAAAATGAAATTGCATTGATATCCAACATTCATTTTTGGGGTACATCTACATAAACATTCCTGCCATGTCAACCATGCTTCTAGACTTAATTATATCTCTGCTATCTCTATTTCTTATTGGAGTTAACTAAAAGCGTAAAAGGAAGCAAGAAATGAAGAACAAGAAAGGAATTACATACTAACAATGGTTTCCATGTTTGAGTAGGAGTTACAACAATAGCTGGGGGAAAGTCGAACAAAGGGGGCCATGTCGATGGGCCAAGTGAAGATGCAACATTCTCCAGTGATTTTGAGGTGGTCTACATTGGTAGTGGCTGTTCTCTTCTGGTGGTAGACAGGGGTAACAAGGCAATCCGGGAGATCCAGTTGCACTTTGATGATTGTGCTTACCAGTATGGAACTGGTTTTCCTCTAGGTAGAGTTTCAATTATTGTCATGTTCGTTTCTTCTTTTGTTAATGTTATTAGGCATCTACTCACTCAATCTAGTCATGCTACCATGTCTTTCTCTGTATAGGACATTAATACTCTTGTTTAACTAGGCCACCTATTGGTAAATCAAAATTGTCATGCAGGAATTGCAATGCTCTTTGCTGCTGGTTTCTTTGGCTACATGCTTGCAATGTTGCAGCAGCGGTGGGCAGTGGTAGTATCTTCCACTAATGTGAGTTACCGTTGACACATTCATTTTTATCAAGGACGTATGAAACACTGATTCAAATACAGGATACTGATACAGAAATACAAAACAGTAGTAGTAGATATGCCAAATTTTGGAAAAAAAAAAGTTAGACATGCACAATACAACGATAAAAAATATTTTGATGTTTTATTTAAAAAAGTTTGACATTTATTTATAGTCTAAGCATCAATAATGGCCAGTAATTAACTTGCATCTGTAGAATATTATTAAAAAAAAATCATTTCTGATGACATGGTACTTCAAGATTATCAAGAAAACAAGAAACCAACAAGAAATTGTAATTAATGAAGAATTTTTTTCAAGTTCATTGGTCATAATTTGATGCTTATATGAGAACATGTACAAATAGTTTAATCTTATGTTCATTTCTACAATTTAAAAATTACTGGTAAAGTAAAACAAAGTTTTTGGGAAAAAAAAAATCATGAGGCATCCTCTTAGTGCACTAAATTTCCTGATCATTTTAATATTTATTTAAAATCAGATACTTGAAAGAAGTTTGCAATAAGCATCTATGAAATATCATTTAAGTATCTTAGCCAGCACACACATGATATGGATATGTCAAGCAATTTTCATAGTTAAGGATGATAAGCTGAAATACAAGAACAAACATCCTTCCAGTGAGAGTAGTGACTTTTTTTCTTTTTGTGGAACCAGTCATATGCTTTATCCAATTTCACATTCGGTGGGCCTATCTTTATAAAAATGCTGTAGACTTAAAAGTCTGTTTGATTCTCCAAGTTTATGCTTTTGTCTTGTTGTCTTTCATTTCCCTAATATGCTTTTTCTTCTCATGCTCTAGAATCTTGGTAGAGTAACACCACCATTTCTAAAGGGTAAAAGAATACAATTAATTCTTTTCAGGATCCAACATCTCCTACTGAAGCAAGCTATCTGTCTAGTCCGTATCAGCAGCCAATGAACTCATCACTCAGGCCACCACTAATTCCACCGGAAGCTGAATACAGGAAGCATGAAGAAGACGAGGGCCTCTTCACCTCAGTTAAGAAGCTTGTCACAGGTGCTGGCTTATCCCTCAGTCTCATGATCAGTGGAATATTCTTGAGAAAAAGGTCACAGAGCTATCACCAGGAGCAGCAGAAGCAACAACGCAAGGCAAACTCATGGCCCCTGCAAGAAAGTTTCATCGTTCCAGACGAAGAACCACCTCCAGTAGAGGCACAAACACCAAATCAGCAGCGTAAGACCTATGCATTCATGTCAAAGAACCTGGAGAAGGTCCAGCAACTACGTAATGACAGAGCCTATTTCAATGGATGGGATGGAGAATCACAACCGCAGCAGCACTTGCAGAAACATCGACAGCTCTCTTCAAGCCCACAGACCTACTATGAGCCAACCTATGAGACAACAGACGAGGTGGTGTTTGGGGCAGTGCAGGAATCGGATAGTAAGTATGACATAGCTCCATCCTATGATCAATATGGTCCTCGGTACCGAGTCAGTTACTTGGGGCACTACAATGACTACTAGGTATGTTTTCCAATAATTTTGATGATGACGTTTGTTTCAGCACAAAGTCTACCAATTGCTAGCAAAAGATACATAGATCTGTTAAATGGATGTATTAATGGGTATTAAAAGGAAGATGAAGCACTAGTCTCAATTATCATTGGAAGGGACTTAGCATATTGATTTCTGGGGTCATTGCACGTCTTAGTTCTTATTTTTGGTATTAAATTACAAGTTTCTCTCTCTGTAACATCCCTGTTTAATCCTATCTCCGATATGGGGATGTTTTTGAGTTGGAGATAAATTTATTATTATTATTATTTAGACTAACATAAATTGGACTGGAGGTTGAGATATCTCAAACGACAACTTTTGAGATATCTTGTATACTCGGACAGCAACTTCTAAAACCTATAAACTAGAGTTGAGGATGAGTAAACCCATACCGAGGGGTTCTGAGATCTGTCGCAGTATGTAAAGTTATGGGCAATTTATCAGAAAAAAATCCTTAGTATTAGGTTTTTATCAAATGATATTTTCATAATTAGTTTTTATCGATGAATTTTTTTTTATTTTGATAATATCTTTGAATTGGATTATTTTAAGTTATAGATCCACAAGTCTAGTTTATAGGTTTTAGAAGTTACTGTCCGAGTAATCTACTAACGAACGAGTGTAACTTGAGTGTAATTAGGTATTTTCATCAAACTAATCTAAATTTTCTAGAACTACTAGTATATAATTTTAAAATATTTGATATTATTTTTAAAAATTCTTTATGAATTTAGAATGAATAAATTTTCAAATAGGATATTTCGGAATTGAATATTTTATTTAGGATAATTAATTTTTGAAATAAAATATTTTATATTAAATTTATGATTGAACGTAACTTAGGTATAACATGAGTATAATTCTTTAATTTTTTATCAAATCTATCCAAACTCTCTACAATTAGGACGAGATGATGATATGTTTATTATTATTTATATTTATATGAATTTAGAATGATTAATCTTTAAAATAATATATATTTTTTTGAATTTATAATCCAATATCACCTAAGTACAACCTGAGTGTAATTGGAGTGTACCAAATTCGTTATACAAATTGTGAGGAGACGAAAGAGGGAGGGAGCAATGGGTTAGAAGCAAAAGGAGAAAGAGGAGGAGGAGAGGGAGAGGGAGAAGGATGAGTAGGAGGAGGCAGTGGTGGAGGTTGAGTGGGAGGATGAAGGGGGAAGGTGGAGTTAGAGGAGGTTGCGGAGGAGAGGAAGAGGTGCTGAGGTGAAGCGAGAAGATGAGAAAATAGAGGTAGAGTGAGAGAAGAAAGCCAAGAAAAAGGATGAAGGGGGAGGAAGTGAGAGGGTGAGAGGAAGAGGTAAATAGAAATTAGAGGGAATTTGAAAAAAAAAAAAGAAATAATTTAAGGTTTAATAAGATCAAATTTAATAGTTATGATTTAAGTATCTAATTTATTTCAGAAAAAAAACTTGATTAAAATTTAAAAATTAAATTAAATTTAGTCAAAAGATAATTATTATCTTTTTATAATTTTATTGAAGAATATTTTGTTTCAGGCTCTTAAAAAGAAAGAGGCTCATAGCAAAAAGCTCGTCAATATGAATTATTTTTCGATAAATTACCCTAAAATTATTATAAATTAACTATTTATATATCTAAAAAAAAGTCTTTTGTGTGTTTTTCTTAATTCAAACTCGACTATGGCAACAGCCTCCTTATTTCCACTCGTCTTATAGGGAAATTACACAAAGGTAGAATAAAAATAACGAATAAGGTTTATTATGGGGGAAGGCTCTCCGATCCGTCCTCGTTTCTTGATGCCGGCGGGAGGCCACCGATTCTGGCGCGAGCGACGAAAGAAGAGGTGATGGTTATCCTCCACGGTCGGTCGATTGACGATATCGTCTCTGCGTTCGCCTATAAGCCCCAACCCCACCATAAGTTCCCCTTCGGCAACGATGACGAATCCTCTCCTCCTCCCTCCTCTCCTTCGCCACCGTCAAAAGCCTCTTCCCTGGTGAGAGTAGGAAGGGGAGATGGACAGAATACGACCCGCGGCGGTGGGGATTTCGAACCTGTGGAGGAGGGCCCAAACACTCCTCCTTTGCCGCAACCTCCGCTTCTCAAGAACAAGAGGAGGAAGAAGACGCTGGCTTCGTTGACCTCAACCTCAACCTCATCATCATCCGCCTCCCCCCCTTCTTCTTCGTCTTCTTTACCCTCCTCCTTTATTCGTACCACCGTCGGCGGCAAACCCTTGGTCGTCTCCCGCTTCTTCCCCCTCCCACCACAGGCCTCCTCGCCCGTGGTCATCGGTGTCAAAGACCCCAAGAGTCAGAAATCAAGGTCCACCGGCAAATGCATTCCATCTCGAAGCGCCGACAAGGAAAAGAGGACCAAGAAGAAGAAGAAGATAAATTGTATTGATGAGAATCTTGATGATGAAGAAAAAGAGGAACGGAGTAGGCAACAGCTGGAGAAGAGCGGGAGGATGGGAAAGCAGGCGATCGCCCAATTGTCTGCCGCAGAGAAGAAATCTGACGCTTATAGAAGAGTCCCAGCCAATAGTGCCTGGGAGCCTCCAGCGTCGTGCCACCATCTTCTTCAGGAGCGGCATTCCTTCGACCCATGGAGGGTCTTGATCATATGCATGCTCCTCAATGTCACCTCTGGTAGACAGGTTCGCTTCTTTTCTTGCTTGTTGGTTTCTTTCATGTTTATAAGAGCTAATCATGTCCTTTTTACCATTTAATTGGTACATGCGTAGTTGCTATGCATATTTGCTTTTTCTTGGTGTAGATTGATTTAGTTGGCAAGCAAGAACTGTTAGAATTATACATAAATTGCATGGGTGAACTTAGTTTCTTACCATGGCATGCGTTGCCAAACCTGGTCAAAGCAAGATGATTCAGCAAAAAGCAGCATCTGCATCATAAGCATTCTTGCAACACACATGGGATTGGAGGCCCTTATGGAGTTTTCTTAGATGATGTGGTATAAAACTTGTAGCACTCCTGTTAGCAAGATTTTTATCAGACAGTTATCGATTATACTAGCTAAATCACAACATTATCTAGTGATTTCTGATGTTGCCTCATAAGGTTACTTTTAGGTTTCAAGTTATCTAGTATTTTCAATCTAACCCTCCTTGTTTCACTTAGTAGTTACAACGGATTACTTCGTTTTGCCTTAGTCTCAAGGGAGATTCAAGGCACATTTATTTTCTTCAGTGTGTTTTACATAATGAATTACTTGCAGCCGCCTTATTTTGGATGAATGCTATTATTTTATTGCTTTTGAGTGGCGATCAATTATTAATTTGTTGTGAACTAAGCAAGTTAAACAAATCAATGTTTCCTGACATCCTTCTTACTTGAGTAGCTTATTTATGCATATGCTGTCAAATTCTTTGATACATAGTATAAACAAACGTTGAAATGCCTGATACAAGTTGGTTGCCTGTGTGTCGTTGTAGTATTCATTTAAATAATTAAATAGTTGATATTTATGCTTCTCACAATTATAGCTGTTGTCATCCTGTATCAGCACTTGCTACAGGGTGCAGATGCACTTGTGCCTTTCTTGTATCTTCTTTTTTGGTGCTACAGTTGTTGATGTGGTCATTATCACCATCACCACCATTGCTTGTATAAACAGCATCAACAAGATCATCTTTAAACTTGTCATCTAGGGATTTATTTGGAAATACCAGACTGTAGGGACACGAGTTCTTTTGCTAGGTATATGACTAAGCAAGATAATTCAGATCCTACAGATGATCACTAAATGCTCTACAGAGGATGAAGCTAAATGGATTGGAAAAGATTTTTTATGAGATGGTGGGCTTCATATGCTCTTTTCATGGTTGTTGTCTACTTCATGATGGTCTGAAGACTCTGAACATGTGGAACAATAACTGGTGCTTTATGATGGATGCTCCATGTAATCCTGTTCATTTCAAGGAAACACAAGCTGGTTATTTAGATGTAACTATAAATCTCGAATGTGATCTAATAAAGAACAAAAGGGGTTTAGAGAGAGTGGTAGTTGTGTGCCTAATTCTTTGATCTGTGTGTTGGTCATTCTAAAAGTTCTGATGGATGATAGTTTCAATAGTATCAAAGAATGGAGTTTTGATATTATTACAATAATGTCCAAAATTTCGTAGCAAAAGCAATTTGAAAAAGCAGCATAAATTTCTTATGCTTATGTTAAGTAGAAAGGAACAAAATATTGGATGAAGAATTAAAAAAAAGTAGTGGCTTGATGCACAAAGCTCCAGCTAATTTGGGTTTGATAAGGGTCAATATACATAATCTTACTTTGCTAGCAATCATTATTTTTATGACTTGAGCCCTAATTAATTATATTGCAAAGGAGCAACCATAGGATAATAGTAAGGCTCACTCTAATATTGAGCAAAGAAAGTATAATAAAATAAAATAAAAATATCAGTTTTCTCTACAAAAAGGAAAAGAAAATTCAAAGAGAGACCACAAGTAGTAAGGGAGAAAACCAAGGATCCAGCCATTCAAACATCTGCATAGTTGGAATATTGGGTTGCATATTGTGTCTATTATAAGATTGACCATTACTAGCATATCCTGACTCACTTGATGCTCCTCACTTTCTCCCATCCATCCTGATTAAGCCATCATCTATCTAGAAGGTCATGTTGTTCGCTGGTCAATCAACAGCCAGCAAAGAAGGGTATGAGAGAGAGAGGGCATCAGCCATATTGTATTTCTTGAAAAATAACAAAGATAATGAATTGGGTTTGTCTGATTCGAGGCCTTGACTTTGTGGCCCAAAATGTTTATAGATCAACAGTTCTTGCTCATTTCTTGGAGTAACCATGGGCACAATAGGAAGGAACCTGCTGAATGTGTCAACATTGGTTGGTGCTTGATTGTAGAGTAATATGTGTAGCTGACACACCTGTTATTTGATGAAAGCGTCATTTGACAAAAAGTAAAACTTACTGAAGTTAACTAGTGCATCTGTCATAATTAACGTTGGAAGGGGGCTTCAGTTCAAGAGTGCAAGGAACATGATTCTTTACCGTGAAAGAAAGTTTAAAATTGTAGCTATTAACAGATTAAGTCACAGAAACAGTTTTATTATACATCTTTGTGCAGGTTGAAAAAGTTTTGCCAGGCCTATTCCTTCTATGTCCAGACGCAGAGGCGACAACAAAGGTCCCCGAGGAGGAGATAGAAAAGGTGATACAGACTCTGGGCCTGCAAAAGAAGAGGGCAAGGATGATCAAACACTTCTCGTGTGAGTATCTACGAAATGATTGGACTCATGTGACTCAGCTCCATGGCATTGGCAAGTGAGTGGATTTTGTTAGAACCACCTTCATTTCACACCAAATGCTTTGAGTTTGAATTGCATTTCTTTTCTGTGTATCCTGCATCATCTTGTGATAAATGGCCATCATTGTGGATGGGGACAAGTATTGTAATTGGTTGTTGATTTTGTTTGTCTACCCTTCTCAGGTATGCAGCTGATGCGTATGCAATATTTTGTGTTGGGAAGCCAGAGCAGGTCGTACCACGAGACCATAAATTACTTGACTACTGGAGTTTCGTATGCAGTAAGAGTGAAACCGAGTAATGTCGTGTCGTACATTTGAGAGGTGGTTGCTTATTTTGGTCATGCATTGTGGTAAGTAGTTATTTGAGTTCAGTGCTGAAGGTGGTCAGTGATGGAAAAACTGATACAAGTGTTGTTTGCATGATTGCTGCTTGGACTTTCTGTGGCCTGTGCAAGAGTGCAGGGCATCAGTGCTCTATCAGACAAACCAGAACTGCTGCTTGAACCTTTTCTTTTCTTTGTGGAAGTGAGAGGTGCGTGTGTTGTAAATTATATAGAAATGGGTCTGGTGGTTCCTCCGGTCACCTTTTTTGTACGTGTTTCGGTTCATGCGGCTCATTTGGTAGTTGAAACAGACCGGAGGTAGACTGGAACATATGGCCATGGTCGCTGAGGACAATGGCAACCTCATCTGAGAACTGGAACGGACGTCGGACACAGAGAGACAAGATAGCGATGGGGAAGGTTTTTTTGGGAATGGAACAGCGTTTCATGTGCATTCTTTTTTTTACTTATTATTAATTTTTGTAAATGATCAAGCAGTCTTAGTTAATTGAACATTCCAAAATTGAGCCAAAATAAGTTGTATCACTTCAACTCAAATGTTCAGTCAATTTAATTTATAAATAAATCAATAAAAATTTCAGTTAAAATTAGGCTTAAGTCAGAATTTGATTAAAATAGATCAGATTAGTCAAACTTTATAATTGAGAACATAAATAAAAATTATTTGATTTTTGAGGGATAATTATAATTTTATCGAAATGTATATTAATAATATATAATTTTTGAAGGTCAAGAGTGTCTTTTAATGGGTGAAGAAATCCTAATCCCCTCTTCTCACAGCCGTCGCTGTGTTCCATCGCACCCATCTCACGCGAAAAGCTATCACTGTCCGTTGCCACCCACGAGTGCGCCCAGACGTGCGAGTCTTCACGGGCGCCCTTCCGCCACGCATTACCTACGACCATTGCGGTGTGCAGTCGCGAGTCGCACAACGTAGCCCGACAACGCTGTCAGTCGATCAGTAGATTATCACGGCAGCCCATCGCACACGCCAGCCTCGCGACTATCCTCCCATCTGTCGCAAGAAAGGAGATAGTCTAAAGTTCTGCCTTCCATGTAAAAATGCAACCCCTACCCGTAAATGACCTGACAAAATTCAGAACAGACATTTGCATATTAAGTAACTGATCTTGAGAAGTATCAATTAGCAGCTAAGCAGAATTAAGTCAAACGTGCAAGAAATTTAAGATTAAAAAAACTGAGCGAAACAGTTAACATGCACAATCGTCGAGGCCAGGTGAAGATATTTGACTTAGTGATACAAATATAAAAAGCACGCTCGATGTCAACTAACCATCTATTTTGCTTCATTTCTAAAATTTTCCAATCCAGTATATACTATAGAAACATAATCAAATAATGGAGAACATTAAATAAAGGAGGGTAAGCATAATCATTTTCATGAACAAGTTTTGGTCAACAAATAAAGGAACATTAAATTATACGCCTCTCTTAAACTGAGATAAGTCGTCATAGCAACATGATGTGCATACAATAAGAAGAAGAAACAATCAACTATTCCGTAACTATCATTCCATATTGCCATCAATTTGGTGTCATGCTCTTGCTATGTCCAGTCATTACATGATTCAACATAAGTCTAATTAATATTAAATATATCAAACTTTTCCACGGAGATATCAAATATGGCTAATAACCATCAGGCTCCAAAACAATCTAGAAGGCACAATTATTATGCAGAGCAATTAACAACACGGACAGATGTAACAAATCTTATAAAATAAAACACAAGGCAAGTTTATCCTTTTAACATTGTTGATATCAAAAGTATCTATCCAACAGGAACTGCTTCATTCTGTCAGAAAAATTTCCTTCAAATGATGAAACAACCTTCTAACCCGCATCCTGTACATAAAATGCAACATTTGCTATATTGCAAATAATAGGACTCAACTTTCATTAGTTGCATTTTTCAATTTTATTGGAATAGTATAAAAATCCTTTCTGAATAAACAGAATATGAAGGGATTAAAACAGATTATAGCTTAAGATAAACCATCAAAAACGGAAGAAAGAGAAATCTACTAGACATGAAAAAAATGGTAATAGTTAGTAGGTCAAATCTAGTGCATTTAAACAACAGGAACGGGCAGCTTCTCTTGTTTCTTTTGTTTTTATTGCGAAGAGGCTCAGCTACATGTTTGCTGGAGGAAATTAATACAGATCCGACAATTTTTTTTCAAGTGTTCTATTTCCTTGGCTCAGCTTCTTCTTAGCTTTGACTTCTATTGATTAGTCAAGTTCACTTCATATAAATAAATGGCTTATTAGGCCAATTTGGGTCATGACTATTTGTATCAAGGCACCTCTGCCCTCCCTCCTTTGTGACATGGGTGACCACTGTTTGAATCACAGAAGCAGTCCCTGTGCTACAGGGGTAGAACTGCCTATATTAACCCACTTCCCTCATTACCCCAAAAAATAAAAAGCTCACCCACTTTGGCATGAGCCTTGTGTACTGGGCAACCCCCTTTCATTTTTCTTTTGTAATGACATTATTAGTTATAGTTTGTTTGCAACTCTATAGTCTTCGGCCTCAACACCTCAAAGTTGTCGACCATAAGAAACAAGTGTAGAAATGAAGATATGCAAGTGAGAATGGCATGACTGTTATCTTTTAGGGTTGGTCCCTATCCATAATGTTGAAGTACATCAGGTGCATATGATATATTTTCACAGTATCCTTCTGTATCAGTCTATGCCAGTTGTTGCAGATAGAGATAGTCATTTAATGCAGAGACAAAGCATAGGAGGTAATCTGCCATCAAAATTCTGTCATAAATTTTATAGAAACATGGACTACTTCATACTAGTATATAATCTGGCAAGAAGAGGCATAAACAGCTGTCATCTAGCCTAGGAAATGATTAGGCACACTGGGTTTTAACAACACGAAATGACATTCATGATTTTCATTCTTAAAATATAAAAATCTACATGAAGATCAGGTAGCACCAGATTCGAAGGGGCAAAAAGCCAATTTGAATCAATACAGAGATTACATAACAACCTAGAGAAACACGGTCACCAAGCAACAAGAAGAAATTTCCAGTACATACTAAATAAATAATTAAGAAAAGGAGAGTCATAAAATAAAATTTGGTGAAATGACTTGATGACAATTAAAATAATAGAGAAACAGTTGCCTGGGATGAAAACTGATAGTAGAGGAGAACTGAAGTTGTATGCATAGAGCATGATAAAATTAAAACTATAAAGAAAAAATGACAACCGCTGATCTCACCAGTAGCAATGTGCTGAAGAAACTTATCTTCAAATTCTTGACATAGCTCTAGTGCAATAGCCCTGGTACCTTCAGCACTTTGCACCATTTGTTCTCCAAGCCTAAACAATCATCATGAACAATCTGGGACTTGTAATCTGCAAGAATTAAGTCAGACTACTAGATGTGAACAACATACATGGAAACTGTATCCAGTATCGACACATGCAATTAATAAACCTGCATGGATTAATTTGTAGCCGAGAATAATGAATCAGAAGAATCTCTCACTAAAAATACAACTAATTACATGATGTAACACCTCAATTAGTACCACATTGGAAGTAGACAAGATTAAGATTGTCTTATAAAGATCTGATGGGAGTGCTACTATCATCTTCACCTTGAGTATTTTAGCCACTAGTTTAGATCAAACAAAGTTGAAAGACTAGTTATCCCATCAGGCCAGGTTATAACAATTAGTATCAAAGCCGACCTAGTATAAGCCATGGTGAAAGGGCTAGAGTAGAAAAGGACTATCCGTTGATGGAGTTAGAAGACTCGTCATGGTGTAGAATCACCAATAGGCTACGACGTCTCATATGCACCATACTAGGGTTTGATCTAGGCTATGTTGGGCCTTGACGAAAATGTCAAGCTCTTAAGTGGGAAAGTTTTTAACACTCCAATTAATCCCACATTGGAAATGGGCAAGATTAAGATTAATTTATAAGAGTTTGATGGGAGTATTATTATTAACTTCAGCTTAAGTATTTTGTTCAGTAATTTGGGTCAAACGAAGTTGATAAGCTGAGTGGCAAGGGTATCAACTAATGCTACTTTGCCAAGCTTATTTTCTAGAGCTCTAGTAAGTATAGTTTTAAGACTTTCAGTCTCAGCTCTCCAAGCAGTTTCAAGCGAACTTTCGGATCCAACAGATCCAGTTTATGCTGAGGCAATAGAAATAGATTGCCAAATCAGGGCAACCCATGGAATATCAGCAGCACTCTGTGGCCCCTGATTCAAAAGAAGAGCTTGAACTGCTGCCAGACTTTCTGGTATCCAGAAGGACAATATGCAGATCAAAGACATATATCAGGAAAAAGAACAGCCAAATAAAAGTCCAACAATTGAGCTTTGCATACAAAAAGATTGATGACACAGAAAAGAGACAGCTATGAGGTAAGCAGTACAAACCTTCTGCATCAAATTCCTTAGCCTGTCTAACAGCTCAGGAAGAAGAAATATCTAGTGCCTGCGCAGCTGGCACTATAACTAGCAATATTGCATCAGTATGTGCACCGTAATCACTGTCCTTAAACAAATAATATTATATAACCCCATTACCTAAAAAAATAAAAAAAATTAGCACTGCCAATGAATGTTTTCCAATGCAATTAGACAAATAGCTATTATCATAGAATTATCCATAGACTTTTAGTCTAAGACTGGTAAATCAATCAATTTCAAAGAAGGCCCTGGTGGAATAAAAAGCAGATCAGCTGTGTGTATAACATAGGAATACTGTAGAAAAAACAATGAGTATCAGTGTATAATAAAGATGAATCATTTTAAAAATACAATAAGAATTTTTTTATGCAAGGAGTGCAAGTTGTCATAGTCATACAAGATAATTGTTTTTAAACACTTTTTTCGAGCCAATACCACAAGTAAAGAATTAAAATTATGAAAACACGCAATATATTGTTTAAAATGTAAACTCTTTGTAGCATCCTAGTTTAATCTCACAAAATAAATGAAGAGAGAATTCTGTTGGTATATAGGGCCAGATGGGTCTATTACAATTTATTGGGAGTAAGCATTTTGACCTGTGAAATAGACTCATCAAATTCATATAACCCTATTCACTAACAAGGTTGTGAAAAGTGGCCATATAACAGCGAAAGGCAGAACCGTTTTATAGTGGTAACCTTTATTCTTCAACAGAGATCAAAATAAATAATGATTTAGAACATGTCATTCGTCAATTCTATCTCAACCTTAACTCCAACTAAATTACCGCTTAAAGTTTATCTTAAATTACAAAATACTAAGTGTTTCTTCTGGTACAAGAAAATATCATATAGGTGCAGCTAAATTTTCTTCTGCAGGTTAGGATGACAAAGACAATAGAAAAGGTACAGAAATCGCTAACCTGTACCCGTCCAGGGTTTCATATAGATCACATCTGCATGGCTCTTTACTGAACTATGAGCTTCTGTGCCCTTGCTTAGCTGGTCCTGAAGAGAGTATATAAGAACACCTTAGAACAAACACAAAAAAAGTGTCAAAAGACTGTCAACACCCATCATCTACAATGTACATAGAAAGGGCCATGAAGGAAGCAAAATATCACCAAAATAGGTGATATGTAAATGAAGAAGCTCCTCCTTAAGTTGTAATATCATTTAAGAGTTCTTACTTGCAGAAACCTGTTGGGATTGGTTATCTATTTGCAGGATGATTGATTTACTGCTCAGAGAGCCATCTCTTTGCAAATCAACACCGATAGAGCCATCTCAAGAGACCGAGTGAAACCATTTTCTCCAGTTGATTTCAGTAAACAGTTAATGCCTCTCGAATCAACAGAAAGGTGCAGGTCGCAAATGATGAAACATGAACAAACTAGAAGTACAATTCCAAGTTCACCATACCAATACGGAATGTCCGATCAAGCTGTTCTACATTGCTGATTTACCAGCACCCTGAAGACACGTTATATAATCAAAGATAACAGCACATAGAGAAACCACAAATGAAATCGTGAAACAAGAAGTTGGTTTGAAAAATCAAGAACAATGTTATCCGTATTCTTGGAGGACTAAACTAGTAGGGGTTTCAAGAAGGGACTTAACTGCTTAGAGAGGCAAGAAGGGCATCAATTAGGGTTTTAAGATACTAAACTGCTTAGCTAGGTTCAAGAAGGGGATCAGTTACGGTTTGAAGGACTTAACTGCCTAGAGAGGATTCAAGAAGGGAATCACCAAGCGTTTGAAGGGACTTGACTGCCTATAGGGGGTTCAAGAAGGTAATCAATTATGGTTTGAAGGGACTAAACTGCTTGGAGAGGGTTCAAGAAGGGGATCAATTGGGGTTTGAAGGGACTTACAACGTTGCCGAGAACGACGACGTTGAGGAAGGTGGAAATCCGCCGCTTGTACGATCTTTCATCGAAGTCCTCGTCCGCGAGGAGGGCGGCGACTTGTGGACTGCGCGAGCTAACTCAACTCCTCCATGGCCGCCATCGACGTCGAGAAATGCAAGATTCGGGATCCGACGACAGTGGAAGGAACCAACCTTCGACTGCGAGGCTCACGGAGAATTGTCCGTTTTGAACTAGTCCGCACAGTTTTGAACGACCTTTCATAATTTTGGTCGATATAAGGGATTTATAATGTTTTTATTTTTAATTAATCAAACTAAATATTCTTATCAATATTCTATTAAATTTTGAGGGTTGGCGACACTCGTTATAATATCATTTAAGTCAATATTTTATCATCATTAATACGAGCATAAAAACTCATGATAAATTATTCGTTTTAAGTAAATTTCTAGAGTTTTATCTTTTTGAGGATGTCTGAGGGATAATTATTCATGAGCTTTCATACTTACATTAATGATTGACTTATCAGAATGATATTAGAATGAGAGTTATAAGCCCTCGACTCCCCTATTAGAAGGTAATACTAAACCCATATTAGTTGAGGAATAAGGGATCAAGAGCTTATAAACTTCTACCATCGTTTATCTAAAGCGAACAATTCTTCGTGAGTTTTCTGGCTCATACCAATAACGAGAGAGAGAGAGCTCAAGAGATACGTGACAAAATGAGCGAAGGTTAACCGACCTGTCAAGAGAGATGTGAGAACACCACTCAAAATGTCAAGAAAAAACACCTATTTTGGAGACATGATCTATGCCCATTATATTTTGAAGATTTGAGAACACCACTCGAAATGTATGTAATTCACATTATATATATATATATATATAATAAATTTTAGTATGGTATATATATTCATCCAAATATCATGATTCTGCATGTATACCTATGCCAACACTAGTGAAAAACTAGTTTAGATCGGCCTCTTCTAATTATTTTTAACATTAGTTTATTCAAGTTGAAAGAGTGTATCTTAATGTCCAATACTTAACAAATCTTAGTATAAGCATCGCATAGTATGCTTTTAAATTACATTATAATAAAATAGAGTTTCAACTTATTTTTGATTTATAAAGATTAACTAAGAATGCCATCTACATATGTTTTAGTCTTGGTTATAAATATATGCACCATACTTAGGCTTAGAAGAACAAATATGAAAATGAAGGAATTTAGAGGGATATATCTATAAATATATAATTTTGCTCATGGTGAGGATGAGCTTTGATCATAAGTTATCGTTGCAATTTTACTTAATACTATGAATTCCGTGGTATATTTTTTAATTATTAGAAGTCAAACTCAAAAATGCCTTTTTAATATTCATATATCGGACTAACATGACAAAAGAGAGACTGTTTATGTAAAATCGGTCCTTCTGGAGGATGAGAGTATAAAACACAGATGCATTGGATTTGCATATATATATATATATATATATATATATAATATTAATTTCTCAGCGCTCTAATAGCTTATACGCATTATTCCATTACATTAAAAATCCTTCTAGCAATTCATATATCGTGTTTTGATGTAAATAATAAGAATTCGAGTGTTACGTGCAAAAGTCGGTAATAACTCGGAAAGACTAATGCAAAATAACGCTAAAGGTAAGGGTATAATAGTAAAAACGCCACGATAGCCTCCGACTCGTTAACAGTCAATTGGGTAAGAAAACGGACTGAAAGGAGAGGGTAAAAAAGAGCGAGCTAACAAAACCACTTCCGCCTCCCCTTTTCCTTTCCTTTCCCTTCCGCCGCTCCTCTCAACCGCCAACCACCAACCCCCATCCCTCCTCTCCGCCCATGGCGGATGACGCCCAGGTATGCAAGAACGGAAGGGAGAAGATAACTCGTCTCCCTTCTTTTCTCATCGCTCGCTCTTTCTGGCAGTTTCTTCTTCTGATGATGATGTTGTTTCTGTTGGTGGAATCTGTCGGTGATCCTTTCATCGTCGCCGATGGTCTGTGTGTTCTGGTGCCTGGCATCGGAATCAGAGAATGGTTGCGCTGAAGAGGGCGTACGCCGACGTTATATTGAACACGGCGAAGGAGTCGGCGGCGCGGATTTTGGCGGCGGACCGCCGGGTCGTCCAGTCGCAGCATAGCTTGTCCCTCGCCAAGGAAGAGTCCCTTGCCATGCTTCTCCGCCTTAAGTCGATCATGGACGCCAAGGTGATCGCTTTCGCTTAGTTTGTTTAGTACTTGCACTTGTCCAACTCTGATCCTTGGTTTTTTATAGTTCCTTGCTTGAACAAAAGGTTGGATTTTTTTTGGTTTTTGGTTGCGATCTCCCAAAACCGGGTTTGATGCATTCTTGTTTGGTGAAACGAGTCTCCTATATTTTTGTGTCATAAGGATGTTCTCCGAAAGTGTATCTTCTTAGAGAGGATATCATGGGAAACTGATGTTCTTGCTGTCTGATGTAAGTGTTCTTTAGATACAAGTGCATGATTCAATTGAATTGCCCACGTCTTGATTAATATCATGCCAGGACTCGTTTTGGATTTGAATTTTGTTCAACCCACCTTTGTCCTGGACAGAGATGATATCTCAAAAAGCTATTCTGCTATTGTTTGTGACTTCAAATTTGTACGTATGATTTATTTAATTACCTCTAGTTCATTCTCAATTTCTTTTCATGATTGGTCGTTTCAATTATAGTTAGGTGAAGACTGATAAAGATTATAATGGTGGTAAGTACAATATGATGTGGTGAGAAAGATTGAGTATACCCCTTTTTAGTATACTTGGGAAGACATTTTTGGGCACCTTTTTAGTTGCTGTACACATTTCAAAGACAAGTTTTGAGACGTTTTCAGTTGTTATACATGAAAGATTGAGTATACTCCTTTTGTTTGAGGCAAGAATAAGCATTTGATATAGTACACATGTCACTATTTCATTAATTTGTTGTTTCAAAGAATGTTATTCCACATTTAGTTCCTCAAGTTACCCATTCTTGCCAATGAAGAGACTACAGCTTTTCAGATTTCCAGTCATTTGTTACAATTAAGCTTGTGTCTTTACTAATGACATTGGGTTTCAACTTTTGATTTTATTGATTTAAGATTATGGTATATTCTGACTTTTGTTGTAGCATCATACAGACTAGTGAATTATTATAATTCTTTGAAGCTTGAGCACAACTGACTAGTTCCTTTGTCTTTCAATACACACCTCATCATACGCCACACATTAGGGCTTCTGTAGCATTTTCAAAGGATCTTTATCACGTACATTGTATGCATATCCTATATAACAAAATTGATTGGAAAAACTGTTTGTCTCAACTTGACTTTTAAACTTTGGTGTCTGTGGAAGAAAATTGATTTAACAGTTCCATTTGGCAGAAAATGATCATCACATACTCTCATCTTTAGTGTTTGGAATGTGTATTACGCGTATATTCAAATAATTAAGTTTCTATTTCAATACGGAACAGAAAAAGACAATATATAGGATGGGTGGAAGGAGCCTTTCCCTTGGCTTGATGTCTCTTATCTCTTTAGCGTTTGGAATGTGCTTTTTACTCACCTTTCAGTACTTATTTATGAAACATTGTACTAGTTCTCTCTTCACTAGCAATCTGAAATCAACCAAAACAATATTTTTCTCATCTTTCTTACATTTTTAAAGAATATAATTTAATGGTAGATGCAATGATGAGGTGAAGGAGAATTTTTTTGTAGGAAAATTCATACGAAAAACTCTTTGGGACCAGACTGGAAATTGAAGAAATATATAGTTACTTGATTTCTCATGCAGAGATTTTTTTTTTTTTTGCTTCTTGGCTACTTATCTTATTCCACAGTTTATGAATATAAGCTGTTCATGTCCTTGCTATGAAATTTATGTATTATTTCTCCAACTAGAACCCATCTTTAGCTTCCCTCCTTATGTTTATAGTTCAATCAGGTGTCTCCTTGCATGATGTTGTGATCTTATTCATTTCAGACTCTTCATAATATACAGTTATGCATGCTCTTCTTTGATGGCACTATTTTTCGATTTGGTCTCCTTCAGTCTATTCTATAATTTTTCATTTCTTTTACTAGGCTTAAAATGTGTCTTTACAGATTAAAGATGCAGAAAATGTGAACTTATCACAAGCAAGAAGGATCCAAGAGCTTGAAGTTCAGCTAAGTGAAGCAAAGGAGACAATCCATCATCTTAATTCTGAATTGACAAAAGTTAGTTCTGAAGTAGAGAGTGAGAAGAGTTATCAAATCGAGTCCTTAGAGGAACAAAGATCACATGGCTGTGTCATTGTTAATAGAGATGACTGTCAAGAAGGCAGACATACTTCAGTTTCGGCACCCTGTTCTCAGGTTGGAGCAATATGTTCTCCAAATTCCGACTTTAATGTTACCACGTCAAAGCAGAGAACTGCAGACAAACATCGCTGCTTTGCCAAATATACAGCACAAAATGAACCCTCAAAAGAAATGGTTGCATCCGATGATTCTGCTGGTAGCCCTGATTTAGTGTCCATAATTTTGAGAAACAAGGAGCTGGATCTTTATCGAAATGGTTGTACCCAAAGAGTACGTGCATTCGAACAAAATCTATTGACTGAGAGAGAGCCATGTGCACAAATGCATGACCAATTCTTTAATGCAAAGCGGGAAGCTGTGACATGTGATGATGATACAGCTGAAAGGCACAGAACTCGAGATCTTGCCCTGTCAGGGAGGCTAGTAGTACAGGTTCTGGAGCCCCTTGAGTCTGAAGAAGTGGGTCAACAGGGAAATATGTGTGAAAATGATCACACAGCTAATATCTCCTGCCAGCATCCTTCAGAAAAACCAGGAGTTAGAAAACCTGTTACGAGCAGTGGCGCTTACCATGAACTACAAGATCATGAGCAGTTAGATATTAGTGATTCTAAGGTTGCTGGTCAAAATAACATGCCTAGATCTTGTGAAAAGGAGAGGCATGATGGTGAGGGTGCTTTTTCTTGTTTGGTTGAGGCATCTAGAGGAGATCACAGAACATCAAAAGATGGAAACATGAAGTTGAATAAGTTGTCCGATCATGTAATTTCAGGTAGTTTGAATACCAGTAGAGTAATGACTAGACGAACTATGAAACTATGTGGTGTCAATGGAGCAAATGGTTGTGGTGGATCCACTACATCTGTCAGTATAAATTCTAGTCAAGAAAATATTAAAAAAGAACTAGTTACAATGAACACATTTGACATGAAAGATAGTTCTCTTTTGGTTGCTGATGTTAAGAATGATACCATTGACACACAGCTGGAGAAAGAATCAATGTTAAAAACACTAGATCATAAAATGGCAAAAAAAATAAATACTTCTGATTTAAAAGACAATCATGAAAGGATTGGGGTTCCATTGACTAGTTATGATTCCAAAGATGAACGATCATGTGGATTAAGCGGACTCCCTCCTGAAGTTGGAAAGGACAGAATTGTAAAGTATACTTTTAGGAGGACCAGAAAGAGGAGATCTCCAGATAGCAACAATGATGATGTTTTTTTGGAGAAAATTAATATGCCAAAGAGGAAAGCACGCAAAGAAAATGCCTCTCTGGAGCCTCCGAAACCGAACTTAGTAAAGGATTCAACCAGAGACAGCAGGAAGATAGCTCAGGTTGCTCGCCAGGTTTGTAAACTGATCTGATTATAATCACATTAAATAGTATAATTATGGATTAAGAAATAACTTAGGTGTTGAGATCCAATTTAAAATGAGCTTTTTGTGATAACTGGCTTATATGACATCATGAAGACCTGGTAAGTTATTTAATTTGTAAGGATAGAGAACATTATTTTTCAATTGTTTTAAGATAACTTAGATGTTAACCATTTTCTCAAAATTTTAGCAGAATGGGGTATTGTATTGATATTTGAAAATAATATATTGACTAAAGAAAATATGATGATGACAATTTTTTTTTTCTTGAACATACTAGGACGGACTTAAGGAAGGTCCGTATAAGTTAGTTTCAGGGTATTGTAACTTGTTTCTTGTTCATATTTGGTGGGATATGATGATCCCTTGTGCTACAACTTAAGGATGTATGATGCCAACCTGTTTATTGTAGGTCCTTTACCTTCTTGCTATAAGCATATGATTAATAGTTTATAGTGACTCCAGCCTAAATTTAAGATTTTTAAAAATAACCAAACTTGTTGTTTTTAAGGTTGGATATGAAGAGAATATCCTAATGAATCTATAATTTCATCAACTTAACATATGATTAATTCTTTTTTTGATAGCAGACATTACAATAGTTTTGTACTGATAGATTCCTTCGTGGATCTTTCTCATCACACAGTTTCATGACCCAGTTGTTTGTCTCATAACAAGTAATTGAGATATTTATACATCGATACAAATTTTTTTATGCTTGTATTACTCTCATGCAATACTGTTACTTGAAAAATTCATGTTCCCTTTTTTGTGGGGAGGGAAAGATCTTGTTTGACATAAAGCCTCTTCTCTTGAATGAGTAGGACCACTGATTTCCCTAGGAAATTTTCAACTTGGACCTGTACTTTGTTAATCTTATTTGATGCCACTAATGTATTAGATGGATGTTGATGTGAAACATCTTTTAGCAGGACCTTACTATGTTTACTCTGCTTTACTGCAAACAAAATTGTTGAATCTTATTTTTCAAGCCAAGTAGCAGTTTACTATTTCAAAAAATCAAGGACAAATGTGACTGTGGTATATTGAAACATTCAGTTAGTTCATCAGAGGGAAGTGACTGTCATATCTTGCCCAAGGTTTCCATCAGGTTGGATGCAAATAACAATCAACTTGATCAGAGTAGGTTTGGCCAGGATAAACATATTTAAATCAACATATGCTTATGTCGGACACAATTATAATCCTGATAGATCTCGGATTGAATTCTAAATAGTGAAATGAAACAAAATTAGACCAATTTGCGTTACTCTAGAATCAAATTAGAATTACACTACATTTTGTTTTTTTTTTGGGAAGATGGTCTACATTTTATTATTGAACCACCAGGAGAAAATTGGTGAAGAAATATTCTGGAGAAGGTATTTGATAGGAGAGAAAAACAGAAAACACAGAATTAGATTGCATATATCATGATGCGGACTAAGAAATGACTGTCTTCTAAGAAGCATCAAGTAAAACTATCGTTGTTGGTCAGGTTGGCTGCAAATCTCGAACTTCTTCGATCTTGCAATTGGAACCCATAGGAAACTGAACTGAACATTGTATGTATATTCATGTTCCAGTCTGGAACGCCTTATGAAGTTGCTAGATAATTAAAACAATAGCTCCTTCTGCTAGCTGTTATTTGAGGCACATCTAAAGAAGCTTTACAAAAAGGGTACATAAGGACCTCAGAGGCTAAGCATACTTGAAAAACACAACAAAAAATCTTCTTATTTTTCTGTATGAAAGCAAAACCTCCTGGTTGTCTTTAGTGTGTAAACGAAGGCTAAATCTTAATTCTTGTCAATGAACAGATTCATTGCTGACAAGAAGATTCTTGTTTACCCGTTCCTTTTTGAGACAGTAGATTGTATAATTGCCACCAACTATGGCTTGTAACCCAGGCCATCCAACTACTTCTGACTGTGTCCACTATTCTTACAGGTATATCAGCTTAAAATCATGACCCATGGTGATTTTGTAATGTAAACTGCAACTTGTTATATATGCTACTTGATTTTTTGTGGGCCAATTTGACACGACACCCTACCTTGTAAATACCAAAACAGAAAAAAAAACTTCGTGTTTTGGGCAATTCCTCACATAAATGGATATCCAAAGGTCATATCTTCGGCTTGGAGGGCACTTTAGAAGGCTTCTGTTACACTCAATATGACTAGCTGAAAATCTGTGATGAGAACTACTTCTATTTTAATAACAGCCATTAGTACAAAATACTAGAATTTTTTGAAGGATAAAAATGTGATGATTAACACAATTTTGATTAAAAGAAAGTAGGAACTTCCTGTAAATAACGTAATGATACCAATACTTGTTTGACATGGGAAGAGACTAGCTCAATGTATATGTTTATCGATTAGTTAATATATTTTCTTGTAGTTCACACATGCTTGATAAAATACAAGGTAATAAAAAATAGACTATTTAAACCTTGGAAGCTGCACCTATATGCTGATGAGTTCCCTTGCATGGTAACTTAGTTGGGATACCTAAAAGATGATGTCTACTACATCATCCCATATGTTAAAGGCAAGTGTGGATGTTTATGATCTCTAGATTATTGTAAGGGAAAGCATATATTAGCTAGCCATTTTTTCTAGCATAAAGAGTGAAAATCTATCGCATAAGAGGATGGAGCATGGTCATGAGATTGCTTTTAACTAGTTATAATCTACATAATATGAATGAATTTGCTTTATAGCCATCTAGATTCTAACCTATTTTCTCCTTTTCTTTTTTAATAGCTCATCGCCTTGTCTGAGAAAAGATGGTAGAACAGCTGTTAGAAAATCAAATGCAGAAAACATTTACGAGAACTACTGAAGTAAGGATTTTTCTGCATCAGTTTGAGGATGGCTATAATTAACTGATCCGGATTTTCTATGCCAAGCATGCATGTTGTACCTGAAACTTTAACAAAGCAAGTAAAAAGACCGACATGAGTTATTTATTTTGTAACTTTATGTGGCTTATTATCCTTTTTCTTTCTCAATAATGTGGAATTACTTGTCCTCCCACTTGAGTCTTTTGATAATATATAACTTCTGCGGCAGAAATATACTTTTGGTAGCTTTCACCTTATTGAGGTGATAAAATTGATTTTCAATTTAACATTATATATTTATATATAATCAATTGATCTGATGGTAGCATACCCTCAGTTATGTCGTCTTGTACTCTGTTGCTCCTCGCTCTTTGTGGCAAACATGGGAAAGAATATTTTGGAGTTCAATATCTTTTATGAGGTGTATCATATGTTCTTCGCACAAATCAATTAACTGAGATAACTTCGACTTTGTGAAGAGTTTCTAAGTTGTGTGATTTTCGATTTTCTGAATCATTTTGTAAACTGAAGTGATGATATTTGAGGCAAAAGTTCAAATTATATTTGAGGTAAAAATTCAAATTATAGCTATTATGATGCATACACTTCTTTTCCATAACAATTATGAACTCACAATTCCAAAGAAAAAATATTTTTTCTTATAAATATATACTAAGGTTCTACATACCATTATACCCTGTCTTTGTCTTTGCCTGTGGAAACGTAGAACATATAGATGATTTTATTTGTTGGACTAGTAAAGTCCCTAACATGGGAACTGTTTAAATCAAAAATATACTACTTTATACAATTAATCAACTTGCTGAAACAAGATAGAATTAGGAACTAGGCTAACTAGAGTCTAGTGCTACCGTTGTCATATGACGTTGATTTGACATGAAGCTAATTCATTTATAAATACTTGGTTTCAGGTACAGTATCCAAAAATAGTCTTTTTTAGTTGTAAGTTATGCTTGAGATGATAATGTCCCTAGATGTTGAATGAATCCGTAATACTTGATATATATATATATATATATATGTATATATATATATATATGTATATATATATGTATATGTATATGTATATATGTATATGTATATGTATATACATATACATAAATATATATACATATATACATATATGTATATATATATACATATTTATACATATGTATATATATATATATACATATATATACATATATTTATATGTATATATATATATATATATATATGTATATGTATGTAATGTATATATGTATGTATATGTATATATTGTTAGGATCAAGAGCACTAAGAGGGGGGGGTGAATTAGTGCAGCGGAAAACCTTCTACGATAAAAACAAAAACTGCGTTCGTTCGTTAAAAGTGATTTCGGTAAGAAAGCCGATTCGTAAATCACTTTAACTTTTGTTTAAAAGAGATGCAGCAAAGATATAAATGCAATTTACAATTATGATCCAAATCAGATAGTAGGCCTAAACTGAAATATGATATTCGTACGAAAAAACTGATTTACGTCTAAATGCTGATTCGTAAATCACTTGATTAAGCGAACTGCAGTTTAAGCAAGGATATAAAGGCAGTTTGCAGTTATGATAGAAATCAAAATGTAAACGCAAACTGAAATATGATGATCGTACGATAAAACTGATTTACGTCTAAACGCCGATTCGGAAAGTGCAAAGCTTGAAACCCAATCGTATATGCGTAGAAAGCAGTAAGCTTTTGAGGAGGTTTGCAGTAAAGATAATATGCTCAAAGTAAATGCAAACCGAGATTTAGAGTGGTTCGGTCAATCTTGACCTACTCCACTTTTGGCTTCCTCCACCGACGAGGTTACCGACGTCAACTAGAGGCCTTCCTTCAATAGGCGAAGGCCAACCACCCTTTTACAATTTCACTCCTTTTGACGGGCTTAGGAGACAACCCTTATAGAATTTTCTCTCCTCTCTTTACAGCTCAGAACTTGGAAGAAAAGAGGGAGAAGAACTTTTGGCCTTTACAACAATTTTGAACTCTAAAAATCACAGAACAAGATCAGGATTTTGGTGTAAGTTCATGCTCTTTCAGTGCTGAATGGGTGGGGTATTTATAGGCCACAACCCAGTTCAAATTTGGAGCTCAAAACTGTCAATTCCCTGAATTCCGGGATTAGGCGGTTGTAACTCCTAACTGAGGCGGTTGCACCGCCTAGCAGAGCTCGAAGATTGAGCCTCTGGGCGGTGCCACCTCTGTCAAGTGCGATTGCACCTCCTGCCAGAGCTCGAAGACCAAGCTCAGGCGGTGCCACCTCCTATCAGGGGAGGTTGCACCGCCTAGTCTCGCTCGGAGACTGAGCCCAGGCGGTGCCACCTCATGGCTGGGGCGGTTGCACCGCCTAGTCTCGCTCGGAGACTTAGCCCAGGCGGTGCCACCTCCTGGCTGGGGCGGTTGCACCTCCCAGTAGAAATCAGGGTCCGAATAGGTTGATCCATTCGGCCCAATTTGGGTTTTTCTAGGGCCCAATTGCCCCAAGATTAAGTTAATGGGATCACCTCCCATTTCCAACTTAATCATTGTGCTAACTACGATATTCCCTAAGACATTTACTGCAACTTGCTCCGGTGCGTCAATCGCTTCTTCCGGCGAGCTTTCGGCGAACTTCCGTCGATCATCCGATGAACCCTCGGTGATGCTCCTGCAGACTTCCGGCAAACTCCTGGACTTGTGACGATCCACTTGGCGAGTTCCGACGAGCTTCTTTGGCAAGCTCATGGACTTCTCAGATTTGTTCCCGCAGAACCTCCGACGACTGTCCGAACTTCCGTCGAACTCTCGAACTCCCAACGTGATCATTGTCTTGACTCCGGCGCAACTCCTGTTGCATGTCTTTCTTCCATCGTAGTTAATCCTGCACACTTAAAACAAAACTTCAATCGAGACAATTAATCCTAAGCAATTAACCAAGTTGTCCGGCATGTCATTGGTCCCTCGACGCTTCGTCTGATTCTTCGGCGCATCGTCCTCTCCTGCAGCCTATTGCCCAATCGGCCAGTTAACTCCGATATCCTTAGCACAATACCCGCTCTTCTTTGCCCGATTTCCGAGTCCACAGCCCGAAGCCTTCTGTCGATACGTCGACCGATCCACCGGCCCAACGTCCAATCTTCTGACATGTTCCTCCGACACAACATGATTTTCCTGCTTTAATTGTCTTATCCTGATCGAAGCATCCTGCGTCACTCAAAACACAGATTAAATCATAAACATATATCAAGTAGTTTCATCATCAAAATACGAGATTCAACATATATATGTATATGTATATATATGTATATATATATGTATATATATGAATATATATGTATGTGTATATATATATATATATATATATATATATATATA